TTGAGATGTGTATAAGAGACAGATATTATATAGTAAGAATATATATATAACGTTTTTATATTATTTACTGTGTATTTTTATGTATGCAATTTATCTGTAATGTTAATCACGGTGTGTCCCGCTTTCGAATAAACCCTTCTCTAGAATCGCATAGGGTGTCTGTGTCTACAGCCAGGCCCATAGGCAGGATTTTCGATGGGGTGGTGCGTTTTACAACACTTAAACACATAATTCATGAATATTTCATTTAAATTTTCATTAATTTGGGTGTTTTTGGGACCTGATATATTTTCCATATTATATGGACAATCTGCAATCACCGGAGACGATCAATTTCTAACAAATTTCATACCACATTATTAAAAATCAACAGTTAGATAAGCTGGCAAATATATAATGCAATGCATGCTATAGCATTTTGTGATAATTGGGAACGATTTTGTGAAATCATAGGTTTTAAAAAGTAGACCTATTGGAATTTGGGATGGGGGTGGGCCCTAAACCCTATGCTAAGCCTTGCCTAGTTAATAATACAGGAACTTCAACCGCGCCTTTTGCCAAGGGAAAAAAGGGCGTAATCAAAATAAATAAAAAAGATAACCAATTGGGGAGCAACAAAGACGACAGAAATGACAAAAAAAACCAAGAAAATTAAGACAGTTAAGTGAGATTTACTTAGGGAAACAATGTTTCTTGAGAAGCCGATGAAGTCGAGGCATTTAGGTATGTCTAGACTTAGGCCTTGTTTTTTGACAAGCCTGGGCACATGTACCTACTACTAGCCTTCTCCATAGCCCACTGTTTATTAATTATTTCAAACACTTAATTTTTGTATTATTTGTAACGCTTATACGCACCCCCCCCTCTCTTTCAAAATTGTCAATGGTCACTAAGGAGTGCCCAAGTGACCAAAATTTCATCCATTTTACTTGTTGACACCGTCCAAAATAGCTGTGAAACTTTAATTCAAAATAGAGGGCGTCCACTTGAGTTGCACTGCCATTGGAGTTTTGCATTGCCACCAATGTTTTGCACTGTGACTCTCAGTTTTGCACTGTGACTCTCAGTTTTGCAATGTGGCTCTCATTTCTGCACTGTGACTCTCACTTTTGCACTGTGACTCTGTGTTTTGCACTGTGACTCTCAGTTTTGCACTGTGACTCTCAGTTTTGCACTGTGGCTCTGTGTTTCGCATTGCTGACTCTCAGTTTTGCGCTGCTGACTCTCAGTTTTGCACTGCTGACTCTCAGTTTTGCGCTGCTGCCAATTGTATTTTGTCCTTTTGGCGTTCCATAGAAAGGGGATATTATCTTAAGTCTCTTTCAGTGATTGTGTAGTTTACCGTAATTGTCTATTAAATGTAAACAAGCGTGTCAGTGTAGAAGAATTACAGATAAATACTTACATGACATGAATATGCTTCGGAAACATTGGTAGGCGAGTCAGTTTGTTGAAGTTAAGTGATCTGTTACATGATAAAAAAGTAACTTATACAAATACCTTCTTTTGAGTATTATAACAACAAGGAAATAGCTACGATATAATATACAAAAAAACTAGTTTTATATACCTTCTTTGAATGTCCTCTTTGATAGTTTACAGTGTACATAAATGCAACGCAAATACAATTACATAATCTTAAATAAGATATATAAAACATTTCACAATTTCCAAAATTTAATAACATAACAGTGTTAAAACATTCAAAACTATGTACGTAGAATTTAGGAAAATGTTATTTTTTGTTAGGCAATAATAATATTCAATCATATATCACACACGTTCCATTCTGAAACTTACATTTCTTGCAAGCGATTAAGTCGAAGCAGCGCATCACTGCCAATATCTGTAATGGTGTTATTATCAAGATACCTTCATTAGAAAAAAATATAGGCTATATCAATAGGCTTATTCAATTCTATTTCTACAAAACCGTTTATTCATTCAAATAGGGCGACGTATATTCAATTTTGGCATTCATTGTAAAAATATAAAAACTAAAAGCAGTAATACAAATACAAATATAAAACGATCACGGGAAAGGCCTGTTGATACTTGCAACGATAACGATAATGATAAAAAGCTAAAAAGCAATTGCTCATGAAAATAAAAGAAATAAGAGAAGTCTTTACACTAGGACGATTCGGTAATGATTTATCGTGTATACAATAACAAAATATTTTGACTAATCAATTCAAATGACGTCATAATCATGGAAAGGCGATAAAGTTGTAGTAGTATCGTCGTTTTTCCATGATTATGAGGTCGGTTGAATTGATTTGTCAAATTATTTTGTTATCGTTATACATGATAAATCGTTATAGAATCGTGCTAATGTAATCTTATTTTGTATATGAACAATTGCTTTTTATCGTTATAAACAGACCTTTAATGCCTCATTTTCTAAAATCGCTACAGCATCTGACGACGCTGATTGGTCGGTAGAATCGGAAAGCCTTTCCGATTGCGTCAGGGGGTAGCTGCGCAGTGAAAAGAATGCAGTGTAGCAACTCGATGGAAGCCAATTTGTAAGCTGTATAGCTAACAGATCATATGGGTGGAAAAATGAAAATAAGCAACCAGAGAAAGAAATCCAGATCTTAGAAGCCATTACCATACTAGTTTGTCTCAAACTGCCCTTGGGCGTATCCAATATGAGTAGATCACTAGTGATCTTACACTTCAAATAAATTCATTTTGTGAAAATATAACATAATAATAATAATAATAATAATAATAATAATAATAATAATAATAATAATAATAATGATGATGATGATGATGATGATGATGATGATGATGATGATAATAATAATAATAATAGTAATAGTGACAACACGACGACGGAGACGATGATGATAAAGATGACAATGACGACTACGAAAAAGTTGATGATAATGATAATGATGATTTGAAGGACGTCAGATATTTTTAGGTCTGCTAGTTATCCGTTTATTGGGAGTAGAAACAGAACCATTCAAAAAATAATTCAATATCATAATGTACAATTTTAGATGTGACCCAGGACTGAACAAAAACAACAGTAAGATGCAAGACAAAACATACGAATGGTAATCTTGGATTTTATGCCTCATTCAATGTAATAAAAATTAACATATTTTGAATTTAATACCTGTTTACTAAATCAATACGAATCGAAGGCCCCTGATAATACATACGTAGCACCACTTAATTTCTGATAAGGTGTTATGTAATCTATATAAATTTTCTAAAGTGCATAAACAAAGTCTCAATGTGCTAGTTAGAACAGAAACAAAATTAAGAAGTTGATAAAAGGTGTGTTTTGAGACGGTTGTTAAAACTGAGTAAGGTTACGCTTAATGCTAAAATATATGTACCAGCTAATTGAAGATAATTAAGCTCATTTCATTTTCAGAAATAGAATAATAAGATTTTTTTTTCCAAATGGAAATGACAATATATATGATTTGTTATTATTTTGTTACTTACAGGTGTGTTGCGTTTTCAGGAATACCGGCAGGAAAGTTTGTAAGCCCACGTTTGGTACAATTTACGAAAACCCAACCGCTTGAAAAATATTTACATTCACACAGTAAAGTTTTCCTGTTATCATGTACACAGCTTGCGTAGTTTTGACATGATGCATGTCCAATATTTGTGTAGATCACTATCACAGTAAGAGCCAAGCGGAAACGCATGTTGTTTGAGAATTAATGGAAGATGGTTTCCAAATGAAATCTATAGCCATTCTAGCGTGTTTTCATATTCGACGCTATTTTTAACAAGTTGGAACGCTCGCTAAGTTGTTTTTTTTTTGATCAGGGAAACTACCGTGCAAATTCCCAGTTACTACCTTTATTGATTCAATGAATAGGGAGGCGGAAGAGATTATGCTTGCATACAATGTAATTCACCTTTTCCATTATACTACAGTGTGTAAATAACTTCTTAATATTAAAGTGCGATTGTGATCAAAATAAGGCTACAATAATAAAATAAACACATTGAAACATTTCACGTTCCGTTCACCTTGATTCTTAAACCAAGCCCTTTTATAAAGTATCTAAACAACAAGGTTGTACAAAGTCTTGTTTAGTCACATCGCTTCAAAACATGACAACTGCAATGTCTTTCTGTGTGTTGCAATAGCCAGAAACAATCCAAAATACTTCAACGTGTACAAAATGTACCCTCATGACTTGTTACAATGACAAAGAGAAAACACGAAACTCCCAATTCTTCAACAAATCCAGTACCTCAAAAGATCACTTGCAAAAGTACATTCATCATCTACAATAGTATATTTGGCTCCAACTTACCTCTCATGTCTTCTCATGCCTTGAGGTCTGCTGATTGTCACTCGTCACAATACTTGTGGTGTGAGCAGGGAGCAGTCATTTTTTAGATCATTCCTTGCTGTAATAGGCCTATTTAGATGCCAGACAAACACGCAGACCTAGGATCTAGCCCTAAATCACCAGTAGAGCCATCGGCGGAACCGCCCACTGAGTCGAATGCGGAAGCGTTACGGCGGGAGATTCAAGCGCTCTCGACTAAAATCGATACCGTATTCATTAATCAGTCAACTATACTTGGTCGGATTGATGCTTTAGAAGCAAAGCAGATTGAGATGGAAACATCACTACAATATTTCAGTGAATCCGTATCAAAGCTTGAACAAAAGGTAGTCGATTACTCAGTCGAGCTTAAGGGAGTGTCGACGTTGTTTCTAAACATTAAGTCAAGCATCGGTACAATTCCAGGTCCTCAAAATGGAGCGCTATTCACGTAGTTTTAACTTAAGATTTGGTGGTGTAAAAGAGGAATCAGATGAGGACCCTATGGCCAAAATCAAGGAACTTATTGAAAAACAACTGATCATTCCTGACATTAATATAGAAAATGCACATCGGATTGGGAAGCGCCGATCTGGTAATGAAAAGCCCCGTCATCTAATTGTAAAATTCCTGTATCGACCTAAACGATTTCAGGTATTTTTAAAAGCCAGATCCCAGCTTAAGGATAGTGAAATCTTTGTCATCGAAGACCTTCCAGAAGCTGACCTGGCCAAAAAGAGAGGCTTGAAAGATGTCATGGCTAAAGCATACAGGGATGGGAAGAGACCTATATTCCGTAACGGGAACCTATATATTAACGGACAATTGTACAAATGACATGACACCGTCTAATTTATATAAATACAGTATTTATTTCTTTTCTATTCACTTGAATTAACATAAGAGGAGCTTACTGCATTTTTTAATACTATAGGTCCTGCCCTATACAACAACTATTGCTTAATTTACTTCCTTATTAGTGTATTTTTCACTATGCTTATTATATTATTATTTATATATTTATTCTCTACGGCATCAATAGTGTATACATTAATAAAATTCGAGGTGGTCTCATATCATTTGCCATTAATTTTCAATGAATGATAATGATGTGATGTTCTTTGACTTTGACAATATCACCGCCGTCACTCCTGCCGAATTCAACGCCAGTTATAATTCAATCTTACCAAAATCATTTTCAGTTATGCATGCCAATATCAGATCTATTAATACAAATTTTGAAGAATTTAATACAGTTTACGACACACTAGGCGATTTCAAAATTATTGGTCTATCTGAAATATGGCAAGTAGAAAATCCAGCTTTATTTGATTTACCCGGTTATTCCTTTGGATATAGTAGCTGCCGTGAATCCGGTAGGAGTGGCGGGGTTGCTACTTATATACATTCTTCATTAAATTATAATATTATTGAACATACAGTGGCTAACTCTGAGTCTCTATGGGTTAATGTTACAGACAACAGCTCTAATTTTATTGTGGGTATTATATAAAAAAAAATGTAAACACCAGCTTATTAGAGTTTTATAACAGTCTTATTGATGTTTTATGTTACTTAATATTGATAAAAATCGCTGTATTCTTATTGGTAATTTTAATTTTGATCTTTTTGAAACTTTAAGTAATGAATGTGATTCATTTATATCTAACGTAGCCTGTATGAATATCACTCAACTTATAACCACTCCCAACAAGACTTTCTGATCATTCCGAGCCTTTACTTAATCATATATACACGAATATTTATGATACTTAGTGCACCACGGAACTATAATCTGTGATATTTCTGATCATCTCCCGACATTTGCTATTTTTGAGCAGATACAAACAATAAGTTTGTATCATTCAGAGATTACAGCAATTTGTTTCTGAACTATTTTTAACTGACCTATCAAATATATCATAAGAAAATGTTTATGCCACTTCATCTGACGTTGATTTAGCTTTGAAGATTTTTATTCAACTTTTTTTAATATCTGCAATTTTCATGCACCAATTGTTCGACGCTTCTTACAAAATAATAATTAAAAATAACCCATGGATTAGGAAAGCAATAAAGAGATCAATTAATAAAAAACAAAAATTATAGTATAAAGTTTTAAAATCTAATTTTGATCCTCCCAAATTAGCCCAGTATAAGTGATATAGGAATATGTTAACAAATATTATACGCCTGGCGAAAAAAACCTATTATAATGACCGGCTATCAAAAAACAAAAATAATCATAATAAAACATGGCTCACTATTAACAAATTAATTGGACGCAACAATAATGATTTACCTCAGAAGATCTCGGTGACTAAAGGAAATCGTATAGAAGAAATTGATAATAAACAAAACATTGTAAATGAATTTAATAAATATTTTACAAACATAGGATCAAATCTAGCAAATAAAATAAAACGTCCTTCTAAAACAATTTACATCTTATCTAAGCCAACCTAACATAAACTCATTTTTTCTTAAACCAATTTCCCCAAATGAAATTTCGAATTTAGATAAAAACAAGACAACAGGTTATGATAATTTGCCTGCCAAACTGCTGAGTGTGGCTGCGCCTTATATCTCAATACCACTGTGTTATATTTTTAATCTTTCTCTACAATCCTCCAAGTTTCCCAATGCTCTTAAAATTGCACGTGTTCTCCCTATATATAAAAATGGTCCCAAGGATAGCTTGGGAAACTACCGTCCAATTTTAATATTACCTGTGTTATCTAAAATTCTTGAAAAATTGTTTAATTATCGATTAATCCACTTTCTTGAAAAATTTAATATATTTTATGACCACCAATACGGATTTCGTGAAAAATTTAGTACAAAATTATCCTTTGTTAATTTAGTTAATAACCTTTTATCGCAATGTGATAACTCAAATGTTGCTCTTGGGATTTTTGTTGATTCTAGAAAAGCCTTTGACACAATAAATCACGAAATTTTAATTTCAAAGCTACGGCACTATGGGATTAGGGGCATACCTTTGTTATGGCTTTCAAACTATCTTAGTAATAGATTTCATTTTGTTTCCTCTGATGGTTTTGTCTCTAATAAACTACCAATAGACTGTGGTGTTCCTCAGGTATAAGTGCTTGGCCCCATTTTGTTTTTAATTTATATAAATGATTTACCAAATTCGTCCGATTTTTTTTATTTCAGATTATTTGCTAATGATACAAATCTATTTAAATCATTTATTGGTAATACTTTAGATCTTGACGAGGTTAATTATCATTTAAACACATCATAGAATGGTGCAATGCCAACAAATTAACAATAAATGCAGATAAAACAAATTACATACTCTTTCAGTCAAAAAATAAAAGTTTTACTACATCTGGTTCTCTTGGAATTGATTCAAGTTTAATCTCTGAATGTAATTCTGTTTCTTTCGTTGGAGTTAAGCTTGATAAGCATCTTAATTTTAATGAACATTACATTACATAAAAATTTAAAAGTTGGTATTTCATTTAAGTTACGGCACTTTGTCCCTGAGGAAACATTGATTATGCTTTATAATTCTTTTATATTACCTAATCTGATTTATGGTATTGAGGTATGGGGCAACACATACAATTCACACCTATAAATATTTTTACGCACTCAAAAATATGTATCAGATGTATTACATTTTCAGATCTTAAAGCCCATTCTGCACCTTTATTTTATAATCTTCGAATTATAGACATATATAAACTACATAAATTATTTATTTTAAATTTTATCTCTGACCTTTTTAACAATAGATTGCCACATACTTTAACAGACTACTTTAGTAACATTAACCATACCCATAGAACAAGACTCAACCGTGATTACAATTTAGCCATTCTCAATTGCAGAAATAATTTAGGTCAATTCAGAATCTCTTATACTGGTGCTAAATCGTGGAATCCCTTGCCATTTGAGTTGAAAGAGACCACCTCAAGAACAAATTTTGTTTCAAAAATTAAAGACATTTTGCTTAATAAATATTAAATATGATGCCTTTTACATTTTTTTATATTATTAATTTATATTTTATCACATGTATTAATGTTTAATTTGAAAGGGGCTCAAGCTCGATTAGCTTTGGCTATTTTTCTTGGCTCCTATTGCATACTATCGTACCTGTATTCTTTTTTGTTCTTTTGTATGCAATAAAGAGAAAAATAATCAAAATCTCGAAATGACAACAGTAATGTTTAGAACTATCTAGGCCTATGTGGTGTACTGCAAGTATTTAACACGTAATTATTTCTACTTGCAAACCTTCAAGCAATAACCTTACAAATAATTAATAATTATATTAAAATAAAATATATATATATAAAAAACAAGTAAATGGTACACCATTGTAATAATAAGGGGTTTTTTTTGTTTTCATATTCTACATTATTTTTAACAAGTTGGAACGCTCGCTGATTTGTGTTCTTTTTGATCAGGGAAACTACCGTGCAAATTCCCAGTTCCTACCTTTACTGATTCGATGGATAGCGAGGCGGAAGAGATTATGCTTACATACAATGTAATTCACCTTTTCCATTATACTACAGTGTACATACTTTCTTAATATTAAAGTGCGATTGTGATCAAAATGAGGCTACAATAATAAAAATAAACACATTGAAACATTTCACGTTCCGTTCACCTTGTAATTCTTAAACCAAGCCCTTTTATAAAATATCTTAACAACAAGGTTGTACAACGTCTTGTCACATTTCGCTTCGAAACATGACAACTGCAATGTCTTTCTGTGTATGGCATTAGCCGGAAACAGTCCAAAATACTTCAACGTGTACAAAATGTAACCTCATGACTTGTTACAATGACAAAGAGAGAATAAGAAATTCCCAATTCTTCAACAAATTCAGTACCTCAAAAGATCACTTGCAAAAATACATCCATCATCTACATTAGTATATTTGGCTCCAACGTACCTCTCATGTCTTCTCGTGCCCCTCGCTCGGACGATTACGTTCCTTTTCACAAACTTAATCACGTTTACGACCACGCAAAATGCTAGGTTTGGCATTTATTAGATTGTGAGGCTGTCTCCGATATTTGTTCTTTAATTATCCCATAGCCCAACGTCTCCAGTTTTACGTGATGTATTATAGAGTTTTCCATTTTATTATTTTTTTAATTTCTTTTTTTATTTCATTTTATTTATTTATTTATTTTTGCTAATGTTCCTTTTTACAGATCAACTAATCCACGGGACATTGGGTTATAAAGATGTATTTTTAACGGTATGCACTTTTATCCTTACTCTCCTTAGAACTTCGAACAGTATCTCTTAACCTAATCCAGAGGTCATCGATATAGGTAGTACATGGACAAGACTATCAGTAAGTTCATTATGACGTATATCCAGGTCTTCACCTTTATTGTATATACATTTTTTCTCCCCCAACGAATTGTGATTTTTCTCCCCGACGGGGGACCAGCCCTAAGGGGTGGAGCCAACCTCCCCCCCCCCCGCAGGGGAGAAAAAGCACAATTTTTGAGAGAGAAAAAAAATTATAAGTATTTTCTACAAATTTGTAGATTCTAAAATCGATTAAATAAGCATTTGAAACCCCTAAATTGTCAAAATTTTCGGGGACTTCGCCACTGGACCACGTTTAGAACCTTTTAATCGAAGCTCGACCACGCCCAATTTGCTTTCGTCGGAGAAATCTGACCCCTCATCAAGGACGTCTTCCCCCACCCCCGTCGGGAACCTCAGTCCCCTGTCGGATAAATCCTGGCGCCACACCTGGCAGCTCTTCCCGACGAGGGCCTTTCCCCCACCCCACTGTCGCCACCCCCTGCTTAGGAATCTTTCCTAGTGAGTTGTCAAGGAGGCGAATAGACTCATACTCTGTTTTCTGTGAGCTATAGAAAGCGCCTATATGCTATATCACAATATATTTGGTTTGTCCCCCGTGTGATTTGGTAAGTTAATTCTATGTCTTGAGGGATAACGTTGGAATCTCTGCATCTCTCGATAAAAGTCAGATTGCTATTCTGTTTCGCACATTTAATATACTGACACTCAAAATCTCGAAATGACAACAGTAATTTTTAGAACTATCTGGGCCTATGTGGTGTACTGCAACCCTTTAACACATAATTAATTCTACTTGCAAACCTTCAAGCAATAACCTTAAAATAATTAATAATTATATTAAAATGATATCAATAAAAAAAATATAAAAAAACAAGTGAATGTCCGGTACACCATATGTAATAATATGTGGGTTTTTTAGGTAAAACCACTGGTTGATTGTTTCAACGTTTCGGTGAGATTGCTCTGCCCGTCATCGGGAGAATGAGAATTTTGGCTTGGTCTTAAACACCCCACCGAAACGTCGAGACAACCAAACAGCAGTTTTACCTCAAGAACCATATTATTACACAATGCATTGGAAGTGTAATTATTTTGGTATTATCACTCGCCAGGCAAATCGCCAAGAAATATTGTGATATGTATTATAACATATAAATATTAGTGCTTTGTCATTTGCATTCTGATATAACTTACTGGGTGGACTCACTGGTCCGGTTAAACATTGTGACTAGATAATATTAAGCAATGAATACCAGCACTTCATAAAAGTAATGTATACAAAATGCAAAATGCAAAATGTATTATTTATCAATGCACACATTATTCAATTTACAAGTTAAGACCACAAATAATGGAAACTGATTAAACTCATTGATAATAATACATTTTATCAAGCTACAGATTCAAAACACTAATTTCCTCTTTAATCAAAGTCCGTATCTATAAGAATAGTACATTACGGTATTAAACAGCGATCAATAATTTATTATAGTTGGGCCTTAGATAAATTATACTTGTAATGGGTGCCACCATTTTGTATTCATGGGCGGTGCAATCTTGTTTCAACTGTTCACAGTCTAACTACTATGAATTTAGATAACTATCATCCACATGCTCCAGGACTTAATTTACATAGGCATACCGTTATAAGGATACATGAATGCATTTTAAAATTCTGTATATGATATAATGTGTATATATGTGTGTAAATATATATGTGTGTATGTGTGTATATGTGTATGCATGTATATATGTACATATGTATATATGTGTACATATGTGTATATATATATATGTGTGTATATATATATATATACATATATATGAGAATGTATATGTATATACATTTGTGTATATATACACATATACGAAAATGTATATATATGCAGATTGGAATATTTACGCTCCTTACATTGTACTATTAAGGTAGTACATTGTTTTGTAGAGCACTCTTATTTTAAGATGGTGCATTGTTTATGTTTACTATTTTGCAATTTGCATAGCACACTCATTATTGGGTTTGTGCACTCTTGTATTCATAATCAGTGTACCACGTCACACAAGACTGACCCAAGCTATGTTTGAGTCAGTGGTGTGTTTCATTCTTAAAAATCCTGAGCTGCACTGATGAGATCTAACAAGATCGAAACGGCACTGTCTGCAGATTAGAATATATATATATGTATATATACACACATACAGTATATATATATACATCATATATACACACACATACATATATATATTATAATAATCATCAATCATTATATAAATATATATATATATATATATATATATATACATATTTCTTTATCTTTATCTTTATCTTTTATTTCAACAAACCAATTAGCTGAATTACATGGTGTTACAAAATGTAAAATTTACAATATAAAAATTATTTCAAGACAGTAATTAAAAACACAACTACACAACTAGACATTATAGATACTAATTATATATACAGGTTAGTAAAATAATTATTTAATTTATTATTATTTATATTCAAATACAAAGTATATAAAATAGGCATCATGTTTTTAAATATAAATTATGGACCAGCCTCAATAAAAATAAAACATTTGCCAATGTTATATAGGCAATATCAGTTTAACGCGTATTTTCTAGCAATCTAATTCTCAGCATCTCTCGTTAAGGCAACGGATGAGAAAAGGAATTGCATTGTTCCCATATCTATTAGTTTTAGCGTGGGAGTGTGATCATATCCCGTGATGTTGATGAGTTGCCAGAAGATGCCGCGTTTAGCAATGTAACTTCTGCTTGACGGTTATCAACATCCAAATCTGAATAACTGGGCAAATTTGTCAGTTCACTGTGGTAATCGTGGAGTTCTTCCCAGATATTTTCTTTGATATTCTTGAGTAAATCAACTAAATATAAGAAAAATTGACGTTATTGTGAAATCATAGATTGTTTATATGTTCAAGTTATTTAAAGTTATGTATTTAAAGGTATGTATTGTCTATGAAAAAAGTTAAATGAAAACCTACCGAAAACCATGAACAGTATAGATAAGTTGAGAAGCAGAAGAATGAACGGTGTAATATCATGAAGTACAGCAATCGTGTCGTCTGCAGTGTACAATGTCTCATCCAATTCAACAATCGCGCCAACCGACAAGTTGACAATTATAAACATCAATGTCAACAACTGGAACCTCTGATCTGATTTAACCTTCATTGGTTCAAGGTACAGGTGTAAAGCAATGAGAATGACTGTGACGAATAGCGAATAAGACATGTTTGAAGATTGGTCGTCCTTAAAGTTGGCGATGAGAGCGAGAATTGCCTTGTTGTACATCTCAAATATTTCCCAATACCAGAACTTGCCGCTGTATTGCCTACAGAAGAATTTCAATCCCATAATTCTATGTCGTCCATCTTCAATGCGTCTGTGCCGTATGTATTTATAGTATAATATGATGACAACAGCAAATGGAAATCCGACCACGTAAAGCAAAGAACAATAAACAATGTTCTTGTTGGTATTATACACTGAACCATTGTGGAAACTCACGTCGATGGAGTAGTCAGAGGTTAATACTTGCTTTGTGTATTTCCCATCTGCTGTTACATCAAATGTACGGATAGACCACGGTCCTACCGCCATGATGTTGGAGCAAGTGTTTGCGTAGGTCAAGTACAACATCGTAACTGCGATGGACAAGCATTTATCTTTAAGATGATAGACTGAGTAATCGCCCCTACATCGATTGACGACGTGCCAAGTAAAGAATGCACCAGCTGTCAAAAACATAATGATGAAGGGTGTGGCTATTGCAATATAGAGAAGCATATACGCGTTCCAAGAATTGGAAAATATACATTTTGGGCTTAGAATATTGATAAATCGTATAACGTCTAGATATTGAAGACTTTCTCCAACTGATTGGAAATCATTCGGCCAATGAATTTCATTCACTTGAGCTAGTATTCCAAGAATTTGATAAAAATTAATAGCGATCTTTATATGTGTCACAAAAGAATCCATGTGGTTTATAGGCCTATTTCTACCTCTTCCTTGTTTTTCCAATTTCCACACTACATATCCAATACCTGAGAATACGACCATGACTACAACAAATTCAATGATGATAACAGCAGTATGTTGGCATTTATAGCAATTGTTGAATAATTCGTAATATTTAGGACTGCATGCTGCACATAACCAGCCAGAATAACCCTCCGAACAGCTGGCATTGATACTGCCGCCATTGCAACTTTTTGATCGTGGGCATTTATGGCATGCGGGTAATATCCCATTGTATTTGGTATTCTTCAAGTCATCTGGATTTCTTATATTAACGATATTTCTACTCATCTGTTCAACAAATTTGTTATATTCCTTGATACCCCCAAAATTTGCTGGGAAGTCCCAACACCACCAGTAACCATCAATCAATGTCTGAAAACCTTTTGTGCAGTTGACACCTTCAGGGCAAAGTTGGCATGAGCCATATCGTTCAGTTCGATGGAAATCCTTAAGACAATCGCAAGCATTAAGATTCGCCAATTGGTCTGTCTTTGTTCCAGCTGGACAAGTTTGACAATCAGCGATGGAGCCAGCACCAGCTCTTGGTGAATACGTTCCATTTGGACATCTCTTACAGTTACCATCGTAATGTAATTGGTTTGGCGTATAACTTCCTAGTTGATCTTGGTAGAAACCACCTGAAAAGATAGCAAAAGTATAGTCAGCGGTAAGTATAGTTGTTGCACTGTTAACATTCTGTAATCATTTCAGGCTATCCTACCAGCCCTTGTCTATATTTTTTATTGGAACTTCTTGATATTGTTAGAAAATCATCAGGAGGACAAAGGGATCTACGCCGAAACCCAGTATACCGACTCCCAGATAGCCGAGTCCACTTTGCCGAAACCAGTTTGCAAAATACCAAAGTGCAAACTAAAAAATTGTGAAACACATTTTGCCTAATCCCACTTTGCCGAGACCCATTTTCCCTGAACTGTGTGTGTATGTATGTGTGGGTGGGCTGTGTGTGTGTGTGTGTGTATGTATGTCATATGGGTCTCGGCAAAATGTGTTTTACATTTTTTTAGTTTGCACTTTGGTAAGGGTAAACATTGGAAGCATCTTTAGGCTGGATACCAAATTAGATAGAACTCAAATGATACATAAGACCATGCCAGAAATTAACCTAGAAAAGCTTAAAGAAAATAGCACTGAATATCAGAAATTATTAAGAAACAAGTTTGGAGACAAAGAGATCGAAAGTATAGAGCATATAGAAGAAGTTCTAAATTAGATGCACAAACTAGCACTGGTGGTTGCAGGAGAGCAACAAAACAGACACAAACACAGAAATTTAAAGAAAGACAGTACCAGGAGGTTGCTAAAGAGAAGGAAGGAAACGTTGCATGAGACAAGTGATCCAAAGCAAAAGATAGACTATGTAGAGCTATGCAAGACCATTAGGAAAGGGATAAGAGAAGACATAAGGGAACATACCACAAACTTGATACATAAAGCTATAGAGAGTAACAAGGAAATTTAAAGAGCATCAGAAAATAAAGGCCACAAAGCACTCATAATAACAATTAAAGAGGAGGATAGCTCTGTAACAACAAATAGAGAAATAATAGAGAGATATGCAGAATTCTATGAGAACATATATTCCACATCAAACATCACAGGTGAAGACAGAAAAAGAGAGCAGAAAGTTTATGGATGAAAAAAAGGAGCAAGACAGGGAGATACACTGTCTCCAGTATTGTTTACAGCAGCACTGGAGCAGATTTTTCGTAAAATGAATTTACAGGTCAAAGGTCTAAGAATAGATGGAGAATACCTCAGTAACCTCAGGTTTGCTGTCTATATTGTTTTATTTGGCAAGTCTGAACAAGAACTCAAGTCCTTACTTGATGATTTAAACAATGAAGGAAAGGAAGATGGTCTGAGTATAAACAGGAAGAAAACAAAAGTTATGTACAATGAAGTTGGAAAACAAAGAAAACAGAAAGATATTAAGCTTGATGGATAAGTCATAAAACATGTTGCCGAATATGTATATCTTGGTCAGATTCCCACACCAGATGGAAACAAAGAGAAAGAAATTGACAAAAGGTTAACGGAAGGATGGAAGTAATTTGGCCAGTATGATAAATTCTTAAAAGAGGAAACCAATCCCATGTGCTTAAAACGTAAAGTCATGAATGATGTAATTTTACCAGCTATGACTTACGGAGCCGAGACATGGACATTAACACGAAAACATAAACGGAAAGCGGCAGTGGTGCAAAGAAGTATAGAGAGGTCTATGCTCAACATCAGTAGACTTGATAAGTGGAAAATGAATATATAAGAAAGGCAATAAAGATTAAAGATTATCTGAAAAACTGTCTATAACAAAGTGGGAATGGGCAGGCCATGTAGCTTGGATGGACCATAACAGGTGGGCCAAAGAATTAACAGTATGGACGCCACACGGACACAAAACAAAAAGAGGAAGACCTAACAAGAGATGGAGTGATCTTTTCCAGAAGGAGCTTGGTGCGAACTGGGCAAATCTGGAAAAGAACAGATCAGAATGGAAATTGAGGAGGCCATCGGTCAGCAGTGGCCTGACAGGCTGATGATGATGATGATGATATACATACACACACACACACACACACACACACACATATATATATATATATATATATATATATATATTATATATAATATATGTATATAGCCTACATTATATATGTATATACATACATATACATATATACACATATTTACATATATATACATATATATTTTTGATTTGTAAAAAATATAGCTGATGATTGGTAAGAGAAGAGTGGAGAGCCTGGTATAACTTGCTGTATTATGTATGTTATTAGTTAGATTACTGACTTGCGCTTATGCATTATCTAGTTTCGGGTTGCTGCTGAGAATCCAAATGCTTGTAACAAAAAATTCTAATTGTTGGCTTCAAGAGCGCATTTTCTAAAATACTTGTATTTTTTAATTTCTTATAATATAATTATCACCTGGTGGACATGCGTAGCACACGTTCTCTTCTTCAATTGTTCCAAAGTGTCCTTGTTTACAAGGTGTGCATATAGATCTATTACATATCATGCCACCAAAGTACATCAAATTGTCAATATTGAACTCAAATATTATTTTAGTTGTATTTTTCACACAGTAGCTGAAAAAAAAATGATTCATACGTTTAATGTCACTATTTGTTTTTCTATCTTACCTGACTAATGAAGGCATGATAATATATAACTCACATTTCATCTGTTTATTATTAATAATCGTTAGGATTTTATAATGTTAATGTGATAGTATATAGTTCATCGTAGTTCAATAGCTCATTGTAGTAATACGCGTTAATATTGTAAGTGTAATTGTTGTACTTTATTAGTATTACGATTATTTTGACTATGTTTTCATTACACATGTAGCATATGCTACAAAAATCAATTAATGGTATTTTTGGTTATAAGAATCCAAATGAATTCGCTTAGAACCAAAGTACATCATCAATTAAGATATGTAGCATTATTATTCCACATGGTGTACCGAACGCATTTAATCATCACTACTTTGAATATGTAATTTATTTGAATTATTTCAAGTTTGACAATCCAGTCTTAGACGATAATATAATTTGAATGAAAATCAAAAACATCATAGCAATGACGTATACAGTATTTTGAAAACAACTATTAATAACACAATTTTTACACAATTAACGATACATCTGTAAGTAATATTCAAATGTAATTAAATAGTAATAATACAGTAGTTACGCATTTCTGTTTCTTGATAATATTGGAGGGATCATCAAAAGGTTTTCGCACTTAAAATATCTAAAAAAAGATAAGATATTGGATTTTAAAACTATATTAGATATGAATATTAAGGTATGTTTTAGTCCAGTAAGGAAAGGGTAAACATTGATAGGTAGTAGTACTGTAATATATTAAATTATATTGTAATGTTTAGTTCCTGCTGAACATGTAGTTGTATGTAGCATTTGGTTTTGTTTTTTTTCGACTTCAAAGCTACAGTACTGTAACATCCTACAGTACATCAACCGAGCCTCACTTACATTTACTGTGTATATTCAGTTGAGTTATAGTAGTATAAGAAATCGGTGGTGGTTTAAGAAGCCCAGCTTACCCCCCCCCCCACATCCCTTAAAGTATATGAGAGTACCATTTCCGGCCATCTAGTGTTTCTGTATATATTTTCTTACATTAGCCACAACCATGGTGGGACTGAGGTGGTCCAGAACCTCAATCTATGAAAGTCCATCCCTGGGGCCCCACTATTTCGAATTCCGGGATCCGCCACTTGAAATACCTACATATTTGAAATTTGTGCCATATGAGACAAAGCGTTATCTTCAATCAGTTCTAGGGGATTATCATACAAATACCTAAGAAAGAAATACGATCATTAATATATATATATATATCTGTCTCTTATACACATCTTCTTCAGGCGCTTTAGGCGAATCCATGCCTAAGGTTTACTTTAAGGTTTGAATAAATTGCTCCAGCATTGATTCGCCTATTGATTGCTTCCCCAAGATTCTGATATTGGTTGGGAATCATGGAGTCGCTAATACGATACGATACGATATTCTTTATTGTCATTTGAACAATAATTGACGCACATGCAAAGTGGTGAATTCTGAAATTGGCTAGAGGTTGAAAGTGGAAGTCAGGTCTTTTCACATTTCAAAACAGATCTGCGCCTTTGGGTCCAATACAGTTATTTTGTCCCAACTGATGCTGTGATTTTTTTTTCGTGCCTTATATTTACATGATTGATAGTTTCATTTGTGTCCGGGTGAAGTGCGGTAGTTGTGTCTCTTTGGTGTTCATTTTCGGATGCCAAATAATATTCTTGCCTCACCTACATAATATTTACAGCTGTTCATGCAAACCATGGCATTTATACACGACCCATGTCACGTAATTAATATTCATTTTATTTTGATGATGAATAATTATGTTTTTAACACTTATTTTTTGCCAGTAGTCACTGACCACGCCCATACACAATTCAGCACAATGACGTTGCGAGTTATGTGTAATTTTCCTACCTTTACCTTATCTATCCGCGAAATCAGAAGGAGCTGTGACGATGACTATAGAACACGACGTTGTTGAAAATATTAAACGCACGTATAAATACGTACAAACATCACTATTTAATACAAATTAAAATGGTTTTTCAATTAAACTATTCGAAGTCTCACACGAAAGTGGCCGAGGGTTGAGG